CGATTTGTGCGATGTTCCATTTGTGCGAACTGGTCTCTGAACACTGAATGCATTGCCACGCGCCTTTGGCCGTCCATCTGTGATTTGCATGACACGAGTAAAGTCTTGACAGGGCTCTCGATGAAGATGGTCAACGACAGAATACTGTGCATTGTAATATTGCATGTTCTGTTGAACATTGCTGACCAGCAAGGTAAGCGTTGTTCGTCAACGTCGTTTCGCTTTCTAGCAATGATACCGTTTCAGAGACGGTGTCCAGCAGTTGTCCGGCGATGCCTCGTGGTGTACAGCCGATCAGCAGCAACAACGAATGCAACCGAAACAGCGACTGCTCTCAGGGAAGAATATGCTGTCCCACTCTCATCGGCAAAATGTGCATGCTTGCAGAAACTTCGCGCCGGTCGTCTTATATACAACCTCCACCCGTCCCTCAGCACCTGGCTCCATCTTACCGACCTCAGTACCAACAAGGTAAAAAGGAAATTTTCACAACTCTTTGGTAGCCAAACTTCTTCGGTAGCAACGTGACCAATTTTAGCAGAACTCGGCCACGATTGAGAATTTTTACTCCCAAAATGTCTGAACTAAAGAGCTTGGCTTGGTTGAACTTTGAAGATCATTTGGTCGCTGTTGATAAGACTAAGGCCAATGGCCAACATATTTAGACGAATATTAATTTGTTTTATCCATTGTTCGTTTACGCGCTTCGTTTTCTTAGTGTTTGTCATGAATTTAACCTCAAGAAACTATGTTCTGATGTCGCATATCCGACTTCATCTCGATTTTCCGTCCGCCTTACGTCATGCGTCACTTTGAAGGTAGCTGGAGTCATCGAAACATTTTACAACATTTTTTTCACTGAGTAAATAGGAACGGCAAATTCAAACCGATGTTGTACATAAAATATCCTTCACCTAGATTCACTTCACAAAACAGTGCATTTTTGAAGTCCTCCATTAGCTCATTCTTCAGTATGCATTTTTTGCGATTAAGCGCAGTAAACTCTGACGTCCCTTGCGATGATATACAATCTCAAATCTTATTCTTTTACTACTCCACATGACATGGACGCCGAATTTTTCTTCGTGAAAATCATGATGGGACAGGTGCATAAAGGTGTTAAAGACAGCATTAGTGAATGGCAGGATTTGATAGACATTTATGCGTACGATGCAGCATTCAGTCAGTTTCGGTTTGGGCATGTGAATTATGGTTGCTGGGGTAGCAGCGTCAAACCCGATCTCGCATAAGTGATTAAGAACCTGCAGGAGTCATCACGTGACTGAAGTAAAACGTCATTGTCAAACTTGCTCGAAGTTATCCTGAGCTTTCCTCAATATCCTTTACCTGTATGTCCAGTTCTAGTGACCTCTATGGAAGAGATCCCAGTTGTTGCCGGTCAATCAAGAGGACCAACAGCACATTCTGAGTATCTTCAGCATCGGTAAGCTACAAGCACCGCTGAGACATGTAACGCGGGCAATTTTCTTCACGGTGCTGATTTCGGTCACTCGTAATTGCAATCATTTCCTCCATTGCCGGCTTCAAGCCCGGATGAAAACTGTGAAGGATTGGAGACCGTACAACGGTCTCCCGTAACCTATAAACACCGCCCCCTCGTGGCACTGCAGATACCGAACGTTTTACGGCTTGGTCGTCGTCAGGGTTACCAGGGACTACGCAGGCTGTTAGAGAACCGAGGCAAACTGAGAAAAGTTGGCGGTTATAACTCACTTTTCACCTTCTGGCAGCTGGGGGGGATAGCAGCAGGGTGACCGCTAATGAAGATCCATAAAACACGACGAACATACCAATCAATAACAGCACAAATATCCGTTGCGAACGGATGTGGAAAACAGCGCATTGCCATCATGGCATGTCAGAAAACGTTTCACGGGAACAATACATGCCAGTTGTAATTCACAGTAAAAAACTGAGGCTGAAGTGCTGACAGTTTTAGGCGAACAGGAATGTTGTGTTTATCACGAGTCCCTGAAACTGCAACGGCAACGGAGAAGGCACCAATGAACTGGAGAACGGGGTTTAGTACCACTGTTCAAGGAGGGAGGCAATGAGGAAACTTTCATTTATTGAGGCATTACCTTATTCAGTCTCTCGGGAAAAGTTTCCGCAAAAGTGTCAGAAAGGAGATGCAGTGGAATAACGCACTTTAAGATACAAAAAGAGTTTCAGATCGGTCGAAGCATCTCTAATCTTTGGATTACGCCCATTGCTTCAGAAACCATGAGAGTTCGCTCATCCGGTTTGAATATGCTTCTTTGGCAGGCACAAAGCCTTTGACCGCATCCTGCGCAGAATGCTATGGGAGAGCTTGGAAACATGTTCGATCGATTGCCACT